CTGGGCATGTGTCCGGAGAGTCTGTGGAATGTCGATCATCAAGGCGTCCTGGCACTGCAGTCGGCGTGTTTTGACAATGATGGGAGTGACGCTAGACCCATTCCGACGGGACGACAATTGCTGCAATTGTACTGTCGATTGACTTGTGCGACAGGAGGTCTGCACAAGATTATTGATGTGGAACAACAACGCGCGCCACTCCAAGTGGCCATTGCCTCGCAGACGAGAATGGAAGTGGCGCAAATGATTTTCGAAGAAGATCCGACGGCTATTCGATTGACTGACAAGGACGGACGATTGCCACTCCATCATATCATGACCAATCAATTTCAAAGTCGACAGTTGCGCATGCTCAAGGAAAAATTGACGTGGCTCTTGCAAGTCGATCCCAGTGCCGCTGTCTTTCCCATGACACTACGGCCAAGAGCCCCTCCAATTTCTCAAAATCAATCCTTCCCACCTCGATCCACCCGAAACATAAGCTCTCGTGCTCTTACGCCCAACAAGGCAAACAAACCCAAGTCCCACCATCTTCCTTGCCGTCGGCAAACAACAACACAGCCGACTTTTGTATTCTCCCGATTCCACCGCCTTGCTCAAATTGTTGCTCACGCCGCGCAATGCCACGTCCCAATCCGATCGCAACGAATGGATTCTATTTGCCGTAGAGGCAGTCTTACACGCCGTAAGACAGTACCGACCAATCCCTGTGCCATGCCCGATCTCGAACATGGAAATTTACCGCTTCATTTGGCCGTACAGAATCATCGACACGAACGCAGTGCGCCCGGGCTGGTACAAGGACTCTTGCAGCATTATCCCGGAGCCATTCTACATGCCAATCACAAGGGACAGACCGCACTGCAATTGTTACTGGGATCGCAGCAAGCTTCATCCAGCAACAACGAAAACAACAACACAGCAACTGTTGTTCGCTCGATACCATCTTCACACTCGTCATCACAATCCCACCAGTGTTCTGTAGTACGGTAGGAGATTCCTATTCTACTTTATGCAGCATTAAAATCGATTTTTCATCCATCCATCCATCCATATAAGTTAGAACCATCATCGTGCTATACATCACCAAAACGATCGTCAAGACGCAACGCACAAATCTTCCAGTGGAAGAGGCATCCTCCCAACGAAGCAGACCGTGCTGGGGTCCCCGCCAGCCAGCTTCTCACGAGAGCAAGTTGCGAGACATGAATCTCCAGACACCTTGCATTAGGACGTTGTTGGGAGAATACTCTTGGAATCTCGGGGGTCTTTATCAACAGCTACTGGATTGATAGATAGATCGTAGCCGTCAAATAAATAAATAAAAACGCATCAACGCGGTCAAAAGTTCTCGCCAGGCAGCATTAGGACCTGGGAGGTTACCGCCACCATGATCGTCGTGGTCTTTCCGACCGGATCATCTTGGTCACATCAGGCATCACTATTATTGGGAAATCTCCTTCGCAATTCTCTTCCTGGCTGGCAGTATGTTGCACGATTTCTTGGAGGTTAGGCTTCCGCTCGAAGGACGCTTATTAGTACTAGTGTAGCGTCCAGATTTTTATTGAGCAAGTCTCTAGTTACTAGTTAGTTATTGGCAAGCTACCATCAACTTGCCTGCCTTGGGTTTGCTTCCAAGCACCGGTATGCGACGTTGTCACCAGTACGGTACCAGACAGTGGTACCCAGACACAACTCGTCGACACTGTTTTAACATGCAAGCAACCATCACGGCAGGAGTCTTGGCCTTGTAGCCCTTCTGGGTGTCCCTTCCCATCTTGTTGTTCGGTACTCGTCGACGCCAGCAAACAAATCACTCACGGTTCTACCAAGCTGAGGTTTCATCATACGTATGGGAAACCCAAAGCACGTGCAACACTGACTGACACCCTTGAATGGTCCCACCGAAACACCTTCAAGTCCACGAGCCTACACGCGAACAACAACTCCTAGCAGCCATCACGGACCTCAACACTATCTTATCGTCCGCCCCAAATCATGCATCCCACGCAACCACCGCTCCATGATCTTGCACATTACACCAAACTTTGTTTGCTGTTCATCTTGGCAACAAGCTTGCTCTTCCAGTTTCCAGAGTCTTCGCAGATGCACCGCAGTGACAGCCTTCATGGGGAGATCGGTATCAATGAGCTCCAGTCAGTGAGTACGTGAGTACGGCGCATGAGGTTGACATTGTCCCATTCTTCCACAATCTTTTCGACGGCACGATGGCCCCAAGACCGCGATCCTTGTCCCGGGTGACCTGATCCACAGTTGCCTCAAGGTGGTGGACATGATAGACGTGCGAAAAATGATCAAGATACCACATGCGTGTTCGATGGGGACGTCAATGACACGTTCGAGCGATGAAAGCTTTCGCCATGTTTTTGCGTCTTGGCTATCTAAAGTTGGCAGCTGCTTGGTTCTATCGATGTTGGAATTGTGGAAACACAATCAACTCCTCTCCCCATCCGTCAGATCAATTGAAATCGAAGGATAGATTCAATCGAATTGTTGTTGATCATGTTATGGGACCCTGAACCTTCAAAGTCGTCCCCGTGCGTGCGGTATAAGGAGCTGGGGCACAACCGTACTAGTGCACACATGCGAGCTGGCTGGGAAGGTTGAGCCATATCAACTCGCTCCAGGGAAATACTATTGCCTCCAGCTGATTGACTGACCCAACCCAACCACCAAACACCTCAAGTGCCTTGGCCTACCGTACCGTACCGTACCGTACCGTACCGTACCGTACCGACCGTACGGTACCACAACCACATCGCCGTTCGAGAATATTGGACTTGCTTCCGGCTCTTTAACGACGTGCAGCTTGCTTCTATGAACCTTCACAATGAAAACTGTGACGAGGTTCGAACGAGAGACAGTGGGCTACCAAGAAGCCTTTCGGTTGATGGTAGTGATGGACTTTATGGGGGGTTAGGCAGCAGCGCGGGGGAGGGAAAAAGAAGAGAAGGGAGAGGGTTAAGTTGGATTCCATTCCGAACCGTCAGCCTCCCACCAAACGGATCCAACTTAAGATGAGGGGAAATCGAATGACCGTCATCCCCCCCCCCTTTAAATATCTTGGTGTCTGAAGAACAATATATGTCAGCAATACGTCATTGATTCAAACGTGTCAGTTCAAATTTTCAACGGATAGTAACTCCTTTCCTTCGCTCGCACCAAACCTCCCATTTCGACAACACACCATCTCCTCTGCCAATACACACCAACGATACCACAACTCTGGTAAGAAGTCAATGCTGCTGTTGTTGTTGTCTGTGTTTGTTGTGTTGTTGTTGTTGTGTTGTTGTGTTGTTGTTGTTGTTGTTTGTTGTTGTTGTGTTGTTGTGTTGTTGTTGTTGTTGTTTGTTGTTGTTGTTGTTGTGTTGTTGTTGTTGTTGTTGTTGCTTGCGTAATGATAGCTATACTATTCCACCCATCGAACGTCGTCCTTTTATCTTTCAGCCACTACTACCGACGCTCAGTCTTCCTCTCAGTCCACTACCGACGCTCCTTCCTCTACCGACGCTCTGACAACAACGAGCACTACTCCATTGATTGCTTGGCTAGTCTTCTTGTCTTGAAGTCAGCGACTCTTCGTACTTCGGTAGGGGCAAGACACCTGGCAAGAGGAATTCCGAGAGAGAGAGGAGATCGCTCCACGAAAATCTCGACCATGAGGATCGCAGCTACTTCTCCGGCCTTCTCCAAGTGGCTGCAAAGTGTCAACAGAGGATACCCATTCAATGAGCTGAGAGTTACAAGGCATGGATTCAGCTGCAAGTATGTCATTTGGAAAGAACACTGTGTGAGAGCAGACAACTACGATGTGCCTATTCTTGAGCAGATTATCATGGATGGACTATGCAAGCCTCTGCCTCCCAACATGACAAGCATCATTGATTACATGTTGGAATTGGGACTTGAGCAGTATCCAGTATGGTACAAGTTTGTTGTCTACAACCTTCACAAAATGCTGGAGGGACCAGATCCTCCCCGTGACCTGAAGCTTTTGGTTGTGATGAGTGAGAATTTTGCTGACAATCTTCGAGAATGGAGACAGAGAAAAAACCAACCAGGACTTTGAATGTAAGTTACTTTGCTAAATTAGAAATGAATTTGGCTTATCTAAATATTGATTGTTTGTTGCTACCCATACCCAGACAATCTTGATTGGCAATTAGAATCATGAGGTGGTCTTCCTCTCCTGTGTGTCAACCAATGGCAGTATTTGTGACAGCAACCATTCGGTGGAGGTTGCTGGAAAGGAGCTGGCAGTATTGTTTGGAATTGCTGCTGCATTAAGGCAAGTTGCATCATTTGAATCTGGTGTTGTTGCTGATAGAGAATCAGGTTACCAATGTAAGAATTTCTTGTTTGTGCTACAGGAGGAGCTGCTTGTGGAGGTGGATTGGGTGGTGGCGGCGGTGGTGGTGGAACCATTGCTGTTGCAGTCGGTGGCTCCATTGCTGGTGGATTTGGTGGCTCGATTGCTGGTGGAGTCGGTGGTTCTGGTCCTGTACAAGCCACACACAAACAACAATCATTTGGTGCATACCTTTGTCTGTGTGGCTTGAATCCAACAATGAACTCTGAGAAGAATCGCTCTCCAGTGTCCTGTGGCAATGGCTCTGCATTTGGAAATGGCTTGTCTAGACCAACAGCTTGTGCCATGTCATTCAGGTAAGCCAACTCTGAATGGTTCCAATATGGAACCACCTTCTCCCATCCAGCTGGAATTGACTTCCTTTCTGTCACACTGATTCTTGACAGGAAGGCTCTCTTGTGGCGAATCTTGAGGTTGTATCTAGCAGTGCCAGCAAGGTTGAGTGCATCAGCAAGGCTCCTCCTCATTCCACCATTTCCAAAGTGGGCAAACTTGTCATGGAAAGCCTCCAGTTTGGATTCTCCTCTCCTTGACAGATACTCTGGGAGGCTGTGCTTGGAGTTGGGGGATGGGAGGATTGTGTCATACATGTCTTCCAAAGGCAGTGGATCAGCCAAGTGAATGGCTTTGTCAACACAGTTCTCTACTGCTGGCTTGGTGTCTTGAGTAAACAAGGTATAGTTCTTGACTGGATCGAGTCGGCCCTGTCCTGGCTGGCTACCATCACTGGCTGTCACCTTGTATCTGCAGAACCACTGTTGCAACTTCTGTCTAATTGTCTCTGGTTCTCTCATCTTCTTCCTCAGATACTTGGAGTACCTAGCTCTGAAGACCTTGGAAGCTTGCATATCGGAGATCTCAGCCATGGAGTAGTGCTTGCCATTGGAGGACAAGAGGCCATGTTTCAAAGCATGCAGAACCTTCTCATAGTCATCAGGTGAGTACATGTACAAGCAATCCAATAGGTCTGACATTGCTTGAAAGTAATCAATGTGGCCCTTTCTCAATGTTGACAGAATCCTTTTCTCATAATGGAACAGGCCAAGTCTTCCCTCGATACCTGGAAAGAGTATCTCCCAGTAGTCATCCTTGTGGGGCCAGGTGTCGCTGTAGATGGCAGCTGGATTGAAGTGGCTCCTCCTTGCTAGCTGCATGGCAGCATGGGAGAAGTGGATGGTCTTGGTGGTGGGAACAAGAACAGCAGAGGCAATCTCACCAGTCTCTGTGGCAGCATCCCAAACAGCACCGGCACCAAGACTCTTGGAGTAGTTCTTGATCACCTGAAAGGTATGGTCTTGGCAGAAGATTCCTTTGTCGCACTTGACACTTTGGATCTCTCTTGTGTGCCTTTGGTTGTCACTTATCCTCCATGGATTCCTGTTTGAAGCACAAGCAGCATCATAGATGTCACGGATGGTGTCACCAAGGGGAGGAAACTGTCTTATGTAAGTTCCATCCTTTGGAAGAAAGGGATCTGGATCAGTGTCACTTCCCTCCCAATAGGAGAAGTATGATGTCATGGACCTAATGAAGTCTCTGTTGATTGCATTGTAGATGAGGCGGCTGCAGAGTTCTCCATTTCCATAGGTCAACATGATGGATTCGAAAGTCTCAGTGGCGGTCCTGTCCAGGTGACATGCCTTGTTTGGAAGGGCATACTTAGACTCCACAGGATAGAGGAGAGCAGCATACTGTGGAATTGTGCACAAGACTTCAGCACTGTTGGCATTGAATACCCTGTTGCAGCAGTCACACTTCATTGACATGACAATGCACCAAGATGGAGCTCCAGTGATGCCAAAGATAGGGAACAAGGTCTTGTTCTTTGACCAGTTATGCCTCTCATTCTTGAGTTGGCCAGAGCATCTTCCATCGGGACAAGGGACTGTAATTCCACATCGATTCCAGTCCACCAGGAGTAGTTTCTGGCCAACAATAGAGTGATAGTGTGGAGACTTGAATTGCTCCTCTGTGGATGGAACTGTCATGGTGAGTCCTTCAAAATGTTGGTGGAATTGTGGATTCCTTGGCCGGATAATAGATTCTGACACAGCTTCAGCCAGTGCTAGCATAGCTAGTGGTGCTCCTTTGGTCTTGTGCTTTTCGACAAAGGCATTATCCTTCACAAGAGTGGTGACCTTTCGACAGAGAGATAGTGGAGTTGTGCTGGTTGTGTTCCTTGTGGATGTCTTCTGTTGCCGGCTCGGATTGGCTGTGTTTGTTCTAGCAGCAAAGAAGGCATCTCCATTCTCCTTTGTTGAGTGCTTCCAGCTTCCTCTCTCATTCAGTGGAAGAGGAGCACTGAAGTGCCTTGTGAGTCTTCTGCTCTCTCTGATGGTTTCCATTGTCAGCTCATTCAAACCTCCTCTTCCTCTTGTTACTGTATTCTTAATACAGAGAACGTGGTGTGATCTTTTTGGGACTCTGAGACCAAGATGTCTGGCCTTACAGATGATACACTTCTTGAGTGGATCAAAGACTTCTGCTACCTCTCCTCCCAGTGTTGTTTGGGGTCCTTCTTCTCTGGCTCTCTTGGATCTGTTGTTGTTGTTGTTGGAGGCGAGTTGATATGCTCTCTTCTGTTGTGAGTTTCTCTGTTGACTTTGGCAGCCCATTCCTCCATTGTGAGTGGTGGCTGCTGCTGCTGCTGCTGGTGGCTCCATGATGGTCTCTTTTGCTGCTGTTGCTGCTGCGTTTTTGGGCTGAAAATGACCCTGGAGTGAGAGCGGCAGAGTGAGAGCGGCAGGATGTCATTGTCGATCCGACAGGCTTCCACGGAATCTGTTTCTTTTTTCGCGAAAGAAGAAAATTGGCGGAATAGGTAGCACAGTTTCCCTGTAATCTTTATAAACGGTACGTTAATTATATTTGAATATTTGCTGACGCATTTGCTGATGTCATAGGTTGATTAGCCAATCAGATTTCTGCCTTTCACCGCTTTCGCCCTTGGACTGGACTTCAGCGGGCACCATACTAGCTAGTACTGGTATTGCTAAAATCGTATGAATCTTGTCGCGGGGAGAGAAACCCAAAATGGGAATTGTGAGGAATCAAAAATTTCAATTGTGAGAAATCAACAAAATGGGAATTGTGAGTAATCGGAAATTAAAATTTAGAATTGTGAGAAATCGACAAAATGGGAATTGTGAGGAATCGAATCGAATCGGATAATGAAAATTGAAATAGTGAGAAATTGGAAATTAAAAATTGAAATTGTGAGAAATTGACAAACTTGGAATTGTGAGAAATTGAAAATTGAAAATGTGAGAAATCTGCAAAATTGGAATTGTGAGAAATCGACAAAATTGGAATTGTGAGAAATCGAAATTTAAAATTTAAATTGTGAGAAACCCAAAATTGAAATTGTGAGAAACCCAAAATTGAAATTGCGAGCATCCGGAAATTCAATTTGTGAGAAACCCAAAATTCAAATGTGAGAAACCCAAAATTGAAATTGCGAGAAACCCAAAATGCAAATTGTGAGAATCCAAAAATTGTAATTGTGAGGAATCGGAAAATTGAAATTTTACCTGAGGGAGCGTGGCTGCATGCCTCTCATTCTTTTCTGGTTTCAGGAACTATAAAGATTATGCATTTGCTCAGAGCAACAACACTTCACCAAACTGAACTAACTTGGCAGAGCCAAGTCCAGCAACTGCTGGCGGCGAGCGCTCTCACAGACATTCTCAATGAAGCCAAAAACGACCCCAGCATTGCAGTACGGTAGCTTCATCTGGATGCTCTATGGACTATTGTCGGAATTGGTGCGTGGTTGCAGCCCAGAACCATGGACATGGCAAGGTTCGTGGCGCGTTAACGTCTTTTGGGGATGTTTCAAGTACGCGGGTAGAGATGATCACAAGTAATCACGATAGCTCAACCAACCGTAACTCCAGGGATCGAGTTGAAACCACGGATCAAACTAGCTACCTATTGTCCAATTTCAAGAGCCAGCAAGGCCCCGTCCCTCTCCCATCATCAGAGGGTGGCACAAATCTAGATAGAGAAGCGTGCGAGCTGGGTTGTCACGTCTAGTCACTTGCCTCCTTCACGTGCTGGTTGGCTCTACTGGCCGGTGTGTTTGCCATCCATCGCTTGAGGACCAAAGGGTCTTGTGAACTGCCATTGGCTGCTTCTTGTCGAGAAAAGACGGGGCCAGCCAACACGCGAGGTTCTTTTGTCGGAACCATTGGATCGTCTCTCTGCGTTGGCTGCTCTGGAGACTTCGGTACACGAGGAGCTTGCTTCCATGAGACCTCTCGCGGAAGGACTGGAGGAAGAACTTCACGGGTCTTCTTATGCAATGATGGCTACCCGGCCTGTTCGTTGTGGTCTAAAGAGGAAATAATGTGCTGTTCTCTAATAAGTTCTATTGGTTAGTTTTACATGAGTAGCATGGAGTATAAGCTGAATGGATTCGATTCTCCCTAATGAATTCTGAAAATGACGGCTGGAAATGGAGGCGGAGGTGCCAATACATCGCACTTCGTTTCGTGTCTAGGCGCAGGTGGCTCCAACTCGTTGGGGGGAGATGCTCCTCAAACCCAGTTTCTTGGAGCTGCTGCCCTTGTTCCCAACGATGGCAGCATCGCTCTTGCCCCTTCGGCGGGCTTCCTTACAGTCCTGGGAGCTGTGGGCCCTGGCAAAGGCTTGGATGCCCTGTGGGTCGTTGACGTTCATTTCCTTCATTTCACTTTGCAAGGCAAGCAAGGACTGGACAAAGTGATGGCGGTGTCTCCTGCCTTGTTCAGAATCGTCGTCTTGGAATTGCTCAAGTCCTCGAAAGCTGTCGTCCATGCCGTCATCTGATTCCTCTTCTCCCTTGTGTTCTTTCGCAAGGCGTTTTCCTTCTTGCTTTTGCTGAATCAACTCGGTCTTGCTGTACCAGAGAGTTTCGTTGTCAACAGAGACGCGGGGGAGGGGAACCTCAGATTCAGTGCCGAATGAAACAGTCTTCCTCATTTTGATAGTTTAGTTAGGTTGTTGGGTGATTGTTTTTGTGAGAGTGTTTTTGGTTTTTGCTCGAGTGGTTTTGTGAACTTCTGGAGAGAGGCAACCTTTGAAAGAGCCCGGATAGCAAGTGGGTTCGTGTCTGGTTAGCTAACTGTGGAAAACGAAAAACCATTCTGCACAGGTTTGATCACCCCAACCATGAGCCTACCGTATTACAGCGGATGAGCTCCAGTAACACAAATTCATGGCATCAACAGCCCCCGCTGAGTCTGCCACGGTTGGTCCAAGATCCTGTATGAGACTTCAAATGCCTCTACGTGGTACCAAAACGAGCAAATCTCTACGCGTTCTTTGCATTCTGATAAAAGAAGCTAAAAAAGCGAATACTATTCATAAGCGACAGCATTTTACTTATCAAAGGTTGCCGAGAAACTTGTATTAATGAAAATGAGCGCCCAGAGTGGTCACTTCAATAAGCTTTGAGTTGACATTGATACTTTCACTGGGCAATTCAGATCCCACTGAAGCCATCTCACTAATAAAATTGGACGTTGCACGTAGTGACCAGGTTTAAAGGGTATGCACCCTTTCTCCGTGGCCTGTTGGGAGGTGCATGCAGTGTCTCCTGACTGTGCCCAGATCATGCAGGCGAGAGGTAAGGCCTAGCTAGGCGTTGATTGGTGACACACACAAGAAGTGATTACCACTCACTTGGTTCTGGGTGGAGTGACCGATCATGCTCCTTGCATAGCTCTTGATTCCTGGATTGATTCCTGGACAACAACCACTACAAGAAAGCTTTTAACAACAAATCTGACTGGCAGACTCTTCCAGGCATCCTACCAAAAGTGGAGTGAGCTTTTTGCTTCTTATTCCCAGTAGAGAATGCAAGAGCTATTCACCACCATTGAAAAGCATTGCACACTGTTCTTTATTGCGAAGCGGAAGGGATCAGCTAAAGGATCAATGACTGGCGCTTCGGGCACTGCTCTATACCGGTAGGCAAGCTCAATGCCTCGAGACTTGAGAGCTCTTGCTTGGCAGAGCCTTGCACCATAAGCTCACCATACACACATGGAATGAAGAGCTACACATCCACTGGTAATGACATCTATATCAGATTCTGACATGTATGTAGTACTGAGTAGCATCTGATACTTGTTTCTACAGCTTCTAAGAGCAGAAGCACTGGTCTTGGAATTGCTTCCTCTTGTTCTGGGGTTTATGGAACCATCCATGGTTTCTTTCAGAGATGCCAATGATAAGTGATCCTTCATGCTTCTTTCGATTATCTTTGGCTCGCAGGTGGATAGATGCTTGCCAGGAGTACGGCTACATAGCTGGAAGGAGCTGCTGCAAATGCGAGAGATGAGAGACCAGTTAGAGGGTGCCTTGAAGAGGGACCGGTCGCCAGCGGATACCCACAAATATCTATAGCCCGTCTGTACTTCTACAGTATCTACCATGAATGAAGCTACATCGGACTAGCTAGCAGTACGGTAGCTATTGGTGCTACTTCTGCAGCAGTCATGGTTGCTGTTGTCTAAAGCACAGAAAGGTGCTTGCCGGTACAAGGAGATCGACTTGAACGTTCGGATTGGCACTTTGAAGTACATGTAGCTCTAGAAAGAATATCAGATTCTTTGCATAAAAGGCCCGCCGAAGCGTGAAGGAGGGTGAAGGCTTCGAAGCCAACAGTTGGCAACGGTATGGATAAGCTATGGATATTACGGATACATGTACAACATTCAAGCTGCTAAGCTTCGGAGTGGCCAAGGCTTGAATCTTGAAGCAAGCATGTGTTCAAGTGGTTCCTTGCAGGGCTACAGGGCTACACTACGTTGTCAACCTCCCAAAACTATCACTCCATTCACCCTCGCTACTCGCTACGGCGCTGTTACGAGCGTACGTACGACTGCATCCCCAGGTACCATAGCCTTCTCCTCGTTTAACACACTCGCCCCTTCAACTGGGAACCCCAACTCGAGTCCTCTATCTTATTGCGATCTTGTCGTATCATGTCTGGCATGCTCGTCGCCATGCCTTTGGCTTCCCCATGAAGATCGTGGACAAGAAGAACCGCGTTCTGCAAATCCTCCCCAAGACTGTGTCCATTCTCCTGATTCCCCACCCAACGACAATTGAGGCGGCAACGCCGCGATCTTGATCGTTGACCAACTGATTGAGGAGGTCTTGATCTTTGACAAACTATCCAATTGAGGTCGTGGACGGCTTTTGTTGCATTGCTAGCTTCCTTTCATGCTCAGTAAAGAAGGTTATCAAAGCCCTGATGTCGCCTTTGCTTCTGTAGAGAATGCCGAGCTTCCGAGGCTACCGTAGCAAAACGGTTCCTTCCTGTAGCAATCCACTGGAGCAACCATCCTTCAACAGTTTGTTGGTGGATAAGAGAAAAGAATCGTTTTCAGATGCGATTCATCATTCCTTTCTGATACTGTGCTGGTTCTGCCGAGTGTCACTTGCAGAGCCTTACTTACCGTGAAGGTATTGGCACGGAGATGTTTGTAAAGCCTGATGATGTAGGGTGAGTGTGACCCTTGCTTCGTGCTGTGGGGAGGATCGTCGTTGCTACACTACAGGAACATGAAAGAATCGGAACAATAAGCCCGCCTTCAAACGCCACTAGCTAGCTAGCCACGGCAGGGGCGTCGTGCTACGGTGGCTGCCTAGCATGAGTCTTCAAGCCCCCCTACTACGGTTGTCTCGTCACTGGGTTTGCACAGCTTTATAGATCAGTGTACATTGTACCGGTACCTAGTGAGCCTGCCACGGAGTGAATCGAATCATTCCCCCCGCAGATGTCGCTCTACATGTAGGTAGAAGCAAGAAAGAAGACCAATGAACTCGAGGCGAAGGGCTGTGTGGGGACCAAGAATGATTGAATCATTCGAATGAGCGTGCCGTAGCATTCGATAGGCTGCTGCCACCAAGAAGAAGAAGGCCATGAGCGGCCGGCAACTTTGCTTGCATCTCGGATACACCAAAAGCATTTGGTGACAAGCCATATCCTTGCTAGCATGCTAATCAATCAACCGTCTAGTTCGTCAAGGTGTTTGCACTGCTGATCTCGGTACTGCCGTACATCGCCCACGTCTCTTGCACAGTGGCGTACCGGTACCGGTATTGGAGATGTGCCGCCAGGGGATGAGGGAGGTACTGTGGTGCGAGTAGTAGACTAGAGCCGCCGGCAGAGGCGAGAGACGATGAATCACCAGCTACAGAGGAAAGGGCACGAACATCGATGCGAAGAATGAGAGTAGACTCAAATGAAGCTAGCTAGCGAGGAGGATATCTGGCCTGGTCACGGGGATTGGGGGGGGAGGGAATGTTGGATCTCTCACCAAGAGCCGTCAGTGGTTGAAAGCTAACTGAGTAAGACCCATCCTCTTTCTCACTCTTTCTCTCCTGATATACATAAGAAGCAAATCAGGACAACCCTCAGGCCCACTCCGCCCGCAACTGCATTTATTATTGAGCCCTGTACTGCAACATGAGCGCAGTCACGTTTTTGACGCGCGGTTTTTCATCGGCATAATGATTGATGAAACACGACGGCTGGTCCACTGGCACATTCCATTCGACGGCATGAGCAAAATCGTTTTGCAAACACGGTGTATGACCATGAATATCACTGGGACAACTGGTCGAGTTTTCCGGCGGGCGACTGATTTGTCGTGGGACGGGCCAGACGGCATTGTGGACCTCCGGGTTGGTGCCGTAAATGTACATGAGTCGATTCTGTTCTCCCATGCGATCACCAACCAACCGTTCCGTGGAATCTCCGGACCAACCATGAAAGGATCCGCTGTCGTCGTCCGATTCTTTCTTGTTTGTAAAGAAATTGTTGGTTTCGTTTTGGTACCGCGATTCCCACCACCTTTGTAGAACCATGTAGGCTTGGGGAGATCGCCGCCACAACAGTGCGCCCGTATTGAAACAACCATGATCGAGTTCAAATCGTTCGCACTGACCACAGAGCCATCCTGTGTAGGGTTTGTTGACAATGAGTGCGGGTTGTTGTTGTTTATTAGGTTGACCGTACCCATCATAATCGTGGGACAATGCCTGAAACATGGTGGTGGGAGAATGATGGGGCGATGCCAAGAGCGCATCCGTGTCGAGATAGAGAAAGACAGTGGCGCGTTGGAAGAGCTGCATAATCAATGCCGTCGCTGGCAATCGTCCCCATACCGGGTGGAGTTCGAGGTCAGTATTGACAAAGGGAACACCAATTTGAAAGAAAACCAAGCAGGTCTGGTTGAGGATGGGTGCCGTTCGGACGACATGCGCCATGCCTTTCCAAGTTTCGTGGACGTAATCGTTCTCTTGATTGGCCGTGGCAGGATCTCGACTGTCTCCCGTATAAATGACATCCCGACAACGAGTGGGATCTCCTTGGATGTGCGACAGGACGACACCCGAAGTGTTGATCCAAGACCAGTCATTCTTTGGAGGATTGTGATGCTGTTGTGTGGTGGTACTGCTGTTGTTGTTGTTGTTGTTGTTTGTGACGTTGACAGAGTACTTGAAATCCCATTCCAGGACAGTGGGGAGATTGTGCAAGTCTCCACAAAAGCCATACACAAAGACACCCAGCAACAGAAGGGTGGGTGACACTTTGCGGTAGGGTTTCGGACTACTAGCTTGACGAGGCGTTTCCGGGGACTTGGTGCTGCTGCTCTCCGTAAGATCGACAATGATGGGTCCTGGCGCCATGGTGGACTTGCTTGGAATTGGAATTGGAATTGGGCAAGGGATTGGGTTTCCCAAGGCAGAAGATGAAGGAAGGAGGATTGTCACGAGGCAGGATCGCACACTCCAAAAAATAATGGTGCAACGCTTCTTTCTCGCACGATTGGTTCATTCACGGACGGAAAAATGAAGCAACGGCCGCATTTCGCAAAAGATTCTTGGACGACTTCTTTTTGCGGATAGCTTTCTCTTTTCAATGAGATAGACCACCTGGATCGTCTGTCAATTTGCTTCTCTGTCAGCATTGCACAAAGAGAACCAACCATGGCTCCCCGACTTCCCAAGCTGACCAAGGTGGCCAAGAAACCAGTCGGTGAAGAAGAGACGGTGGCACTGGTGGGAACTTCTCCCACTGCCATCAGCAACAACAGCGGCTACACTTCCTCTCGATGGCTCCGATTGTTGGCCATCATTCTCGTGGGATGTTTGGCACTTTTCCTATGGGATAGCCTCGAGTTTGATAGTGACAAGACCAAGGGAGATACCGAAGCAAAACTGCAAACAGGCAATGCTACTACTAAAACTGGCTCCGAGTTGCCGTTTGCTACCGATACGCCTGATCGAGGTGGAGAACCAAAGACAGCAGAAGAAACACAGAAACAAACACCAGCACCAACACCCAAGTCTCCAGCACCAACACCCAAGCCAACTCCCGAACCCACGAATCCTCCAGAAACGCCCAAGCCCACAAATACTCCAGAAACTCCACAGCCGACGCCCAAACCGACTAGTCCTCCTGAAACTCCACCGCCAACCGAGCCACCAGCAGCAGACACCGTGGGTAGGATTCCCACCAACAACTACAGCCCCAAATGCAAACAATCCTGTGCTTCTGCCGCCACCAAAGATGATAGCAGTTTGCTGCCAAAAAAGCTCACCGACGCAAAGACCATGCAGGAACGATTTCGGGAATATCGCAACCAATGGATCGACCGTCTCAAGGTCGACTATGGAGAAGAATACTACAACGACCTTTTCGAACCCATCATTAACGGAACACGACAAAATGTGGGACAGCAATTGGCATTTACGGATATGAATCGACTGCCACGAGGAGATATTGACTACTACAAGAACGAAACTCGTACCAAACCAGGACCGGCATGGGGTCGTATGATTCGAAAATGGACACTCAAGTTGTTGCAGGTACAGTTGGGCATGCTGCTGGCAGAAGGACAACAAGAAGAAGAACAGCACGGCAATAATTATTATTGCTTGGAGGAATGCAGCAGCAATCGAAACATGTCGACACCCGATCTGTACGCCAAGTTCATTTGGGCCAATGGAGGGCACAGTGCTTCGGCAGGACATGGAAACTTTCACAGAGAGAGCTATACGGCCAACTTGGGACGTGACTTGCAACCCATTCTCAAGGAAATTGGATTGGACTTTCAAGTTCGAAATTATGCCATGGTAAGTGGGGATAGAATGGGTGCAGTGGAGTGCATTGTGGTTCCAGCGACTATAACCACGCCATGTGATCAATGTCTTTCTTATAACAACCTGATGTAGGGAGGAACCGAATCTGGAGAGGTAAGGACAAACAGTCGTTTATAAGCAACAATTGCTGGATCTGGCCTCAAACTCTATTGTGGCTCATACAAAAACAAACAAAACTCGCCACCTTTGCTTTTGTACAGGAGGTAGCGCTCTGTTTCACTTCCATATTCGGAAAAGACATTGATTCCTTCACATGGGACTATGGCATGACGGATGGGAACGAGTTTCATAAGATCATCATGTACATTTATGGTGCTGCAAGATTGGCTCTCTTGGATGACGATCTTTCACACCCGGGTAATCTACGACATGTAAGTTTCTGCCAATCGTTGAAGCCTTCGGTGCGTGCTTTGTTTCACTCATTCAATGACTGGTCCGTTCTGGATTTGTTTGCAGCGGCCATCTCTGATGGTGCTTCATACCGGGGATGGTATGCATCCCATTTTGGAACAGTTTCAAAACTGTAAGTACACATACATGCACTAGCGGCTGTCATCTCCATGGTTGGCTTGGAGTGGTATCTTTTGGTTTTACCTCTTGAACGCTGATAAAGTTTCTCCTTCTCGATCCTCGCAGTGGGACTGACCTTACTCAAAATGGATATGCGCTATCAAAAGGACAAGATAATGCCTGTACTTCCAGACATGTTTGGCAAGACCGATGCAGAAATTGCGGCGTTGCCGCCGTTTATCCGATACTTTAAGTGCCAAGAACGAGTGGAAGCCGGGGATCCGGGATGCGATGACAACAAGTTCAATATGACACTGTGTCCTGAAAGGACGGGTCGAAACACGTGAGTACCTCATCTATCTGATCATGCCTGATGCTTCCCTTGACCTGCTTTTGCTCATCTCAGCTATCTGATCTAACCTGATGCTACGTAACTCGCACTCAAAGTTGGCATCCTGGTTGGCGATATCATGCTTTGATGGGGCACATTATGGCCTCCACACTCTTGAATGTGATTGATGATAGTCTCCAAGGGATGGTTGCAATGGAACCGACAACGAAGACTGAAAGTTCGAAGGAAAAGTATGATCGCATCGTTGCAGCGATCGACAAGCTCGATAAGGAAGAAGCGCAAGACTACGAGAACATTTTTGCTGCCCCGGTTCCCGAGGACTTTAAAAGACCTTTCGACGAGGCTTTGTGGAAAGGGAACCGCAAAGAGGCCAACAAGGAGGCAATGAAAGACATTTTCGATATTGATTACCTGGTCAAGAATTTCTCGTTTTGCCATACAGGATTGTTGCCAGCCGAAATCCGCTATAGGGGTATCTTGACTGAGAATTTTGACCAGGTTGGGACTATCATGGACTACAACTATGAAATGGGTATCATGCAAAGCAAGGTTGCCGCCATGGAGCACCCGCCAGATGATTCTGATGTCAATGCTACAGCTTTTATCGATCCGCACCCAGGCCGCGACGATCAAATGTTGCTTCTATCGATCGACAAAGAATACGAGTTCTGGTGCGAAGAAGAGACCATGAAGGACCACAAGGACCACTTTTTCATTTCCAGTGAACAAGGTTGGCGTAAACTCGTCATTCCCAACAATGCAGAATCAGAGTACTACAAAGAGTTTGACGCAACCAAGAGCAAGGGCTGGTTCTTTGCATGCATGGCTTCCTGTGATTGGGACAACTGCGATAATGGAGACATTCGAAATAGTATTGTGAATGAAACGATGAATGGCGGGGAGTTTGGACACATGCAAATGGAATTGAATGGTGTACCAGTGACGGGTTTGAAATGCTTCAATCGTTGCTGTGCACTCCAACACGACGACTCAGATCCCGCGCAGAGCTTCCGATGGACGCCCAATGCAGATGGCAAGTATGAGTTCCGAAGCATGATATCGGGCGCCACCAAGTATGGCTTTGCTCGTTTCAGTTCCTTCGTCCTGTTATAATTGGCTACAGGAAGCCTGCCCCAAACAATAGAACTCTTAATATCGATAATTTTGGACTTTCTGTACCTCTTTTTGGCTAGTCATTCATCGATTTCGGTAGTTCCTGCTAGCTAGTCCCCACGCGGAGCGCATTAATTAATGGTGTCCGGACGGTTTCAGTTCCCACAGGCGGCGCAAAATTTAAGCAGAGATCTAGCTAGAGCTCGCCCCACTTGTCCTCGTCATGCCAATGGTAAGGATAACCAGGTTCAAATAAATGTGATGACGAGTCTCACAATGTCTTTTGCCTCATCACGAGTTTTGAATCCAAAATCAATACGTCCTTTTGTCGTTGTATAAAACTTGCCCATCGACAGATGCCCCTTTGAAAAACTGATGGGCAAACTTGACGATCGCCATGAAATGGACCTGCAATGTCTCTGTAGAGAGGCGACTCCACCCCGTAGTTCCATGATACGGTACGTGAAAGAATCATTGTACGAAGGGTCTGTTTCAAGAGTAGACGCTGATGGATAAATGAAGCCATTGTTCGCAAGATTTCCGGTCGAGGAAGTTGAAAGGGAAGGCGACCGACAAATACTCGTAGTGATCATATTCGTAAAGAATGTGCTGGCGTTTCTCATCGAGTTGGTCGCAAACAAAGCGCTTATCTGAGGGAAGTTTTGCTTCTTTCTCACACCAAGATCGGAAGATATCGTCGATACATGAGAGCAGGAAGCGGTCAGGGAGAAGAAGCTTCAACTCGTCGAAGGAAAGAAAGACACCATTCGTACGACTCGCGGCATACAAGCGGTGTTCCTCACTTGTCGCACTCATGTTGTGTTGTACTTGAACGGAGCCACACTAGCTAGATACGATGAGGAGGGAGGAAGAAACAGAATGTGCTGTTGATTGCATCACCGCAAGGGTGGTTATTGCTGTTTGTGTTACCTCTCCGTCTGTTGTTATTGAGAGCCTTCCAGGTCGTCTCCACGCTCAATAGCACCACCGAACAGGGAAAATAGTAGCAAGCCTTAAAAGGCTCCTTCGTCTCTTCCTACGGCTGTACTACCACAGTACAGTCGTACCTGGTGCGCTAAGTACCGGTACCAGCTTCGTGCAGCCAAAAACTAGAACCACTCTGTGAATAATGTGGAGCCCAGTCCAGACTTCCACCTCTTCTTTGCCTAAATCTGCCCCACCAAAGGCTTCCATACCGTAGATAACATATAAGGCCGCTCTCTACCGGAGGGACTAAAGTAGCGACTAAAGGAATCCTTTAGGTGGTTGTTTAGTTCAAGATTTAGTCATTATCCTTTAGTAATGGTGGTGTCTACCAGCAGATGACTAAATCTCGGACTAAACAATTTAGTCGAGTTTTTAGTCAAAATGTGGTGTCTACCCTGGCGACTAAACAAACACTGCGACTAAATCCATTGCAGGGTGCTGGACTTATAAGGCCTCAAAAATGATTTAACAAAAGTGATCGCTTGGTGGGCTACCATATTCTATCAGCAAGGTGGTTTAAAGGACTCAAACAAAAGACTTAATAGAAGATTAATAGAATTGATTACTTTTTTGAGATAAAAAGACTGAGATAACAAGACTCAAAACACACCATTGCGACCTCTTCGATGTTCGATCGTTTGCACCTCTACTACCGGTATCATTCAGTCAAAGGCGAGAAATGAAAGCCATCCCGCACTCCATACTCTGCAATGAGGGATGGCTTTCTATTCTCAACCGAAGACTGTCGCTTGATAAAGTGCGATAGAGGTGCGATCGTTCGATCGTTTGCACCTCACTATCGGCCGATACTCCTCTTCGATCGTTCGATCGTTCGATCATTCGATCGTTCGATCGGTTGCACCTCTATCGGCTGATACTCCTCTTCGATCTTTCGATCGTTCGATCGTGCACACTCTACTCTATCAGCTCTGTCGCATGCTCTGATAGTGAGGCTGTGCAATGAGGTTGCGTTCTTTTTTCAAAGTGCTGTTCTTTTTTAAAAGTGCTGTTCTTTTTTTAAAGAGTTCTTAAAGAAGCTTTAGTCGTTATGTTCGCTCACGACTAACCAGCTCCCGTTAGTCGGTGAGCGAACATAATGACTAAAGCCTTTATCCGTGGACGTTTAGTCGCTTGGGTAGACACCACCTCAGAGACTAAACTATCACTAAACTACGAAATATGGCTTAGTCGCTACTTTAGTCGCTTGGGTAGAGAGCGGCCTACTTCCCTCTCCCCCTTCTCTGGTGTTTGAGGAAGCAAGGAACTGATTGGCAACTTCCACGCTTGCTTCCACGATGACGTCAGAGAAGAAAACCAGTCTCCAAACTGTTGCCATCGCCCTCCCAGTTTGGAGCTTTGGTGCTGTTGTAGGTCCTGCACAAGGAGCCAGTAGAGGATCAACCATGGCTTTGTACTACACTGCCAGGCACGGCAGCCAACGATTGCTCAGAGGCAACAAACTGACTTTCGCGATGGGTTCTTTCTGGAGGCCATTTTCTTCCAACACTCGATCGGGTCAACGTATACGACATCAGGACCCATTCAAAGTGTTGGGACTTCAAAAAGGGGCCACCTACCATAGTGTCAAGGAGGCATTTTTGAAACTGGCTTTGGAGCATCACCCAGATCGACAGAAACAGCCTTCGGATCCAACAGATGACGACAAATCACAAACCGCAAGCAGCGACAATGCAGCTTCGTTTATTAGAATTCGACAAGCCTTTGAAGTGATCCGAGAAGGATCTGATGGACAAGCCGAGGCGGCGGACGAGTCTCAATGGAGCGAGGAGGAATTACGAGACTTTATGGAGGAGCAAACGAGTGAATTCTTGACGTTCCGAATGGATCATGACACTCGGAAAGAAGTCATTGCCGCGTTGGATTTGAGCGCGGGAGGATTGGACCGGGGAGGAACATGGATGATGGCTCGCATGCTGGCAGAACGAGAGAAAAGTCAACAACAACAGCCCACAGGACCACCCACCAAGGAGCTTTCGGCAGTAGCCGACTCTCAACGCATCAAACGAAGAAGGAGGAGGTAGACGCTATTCTATATATTTTCTCCTCTTCAAAACCTGGGATTGAATTGCTTTCCAAGAGGGGCCCAACTTCATGATTGTAGATGCACCAACGGAGGGGCGCTCGATTAAGCCAAGAAGAGCAACAAAATAGGCTGGTGTATCAAGATCGAACGATACCAGCCAAAACTTAGAATTGGATCCAAGACTGTACCGCTACATTCGGGATCGTACCTTAGACACACATGATAAGCCGCAACGCAAAAAGTTCATGGGAATGAAGATTGTCGTCGGAATTAAAACTATTTGTAATGTTGAAGCTTTTTGTCCGGATGCGGAATGCTCCCACATGATGGTCTCTCAGGACAAAATCTCAAGGCTGATGGTCTCTCGGGACAAAATCTCAAGGCTCGCAAGGACTGAAAACTTGACAAGGAAGCAGTCAGTTACCATAAAATCAAGTACAGCACGACAAAACCATGAAGATCAGCCTTCTCTTCTTTGCCTTTCTTGCTCCTGCCCTGGGCCTTCCTCCGATTGGCAAAGATGACTGGTTTCTACTGGCAAGCCACGCCGGTGAGGGCGAAATCCAGGAAGATTGTAACATGAACTTTGAAGAGTTCTTTTGCGCCACGACACAAGATGGTGCTAGCGACTCCGGAACCCATGTTGTGATTCAAGAGTGTACTTTTGACGATGTGGGTGGCTGGAGAATTGAGAAGGCCAGAGGTCAGAGTGGGTTCCTTCTGAAACTTGGGAGCACGTACGAGGAACCGCTGTGTATGCAAGCAGGGTAAGAGCATGGGTGACTTTGCAAGCAAATGGTAGAGATAGAGATTACTAAGTCTTGCTCACACTTGCTTTCACCTCATCCTTTTGCAGAGACGGAGATCGCCAAGCGAGGGTCCGAGTCCGTCCTTGTGATAGTGATCATCCTTTGCAGCGTTGGGTGTGGGATGACTACACTTCTTCCTGCGGGGACGACAGAGGAGCTAAAATCAAACTCGAGAGCAACACAGATCTTTGTTTGACTTGGTTTGGCGCGAGTGGTGTGGATGAAGGCGAGGTTCGTCGCGTGATTATTAAACCTTGCGGAGAGTTGCACAGAGAGCGCGCCAAGGGCTGGTGGGCTGCTTGATTTGCATGATAATTTGAAAGGCTCAATACGAGACCTATTTCATGGGCAGCACACACCACAATCCCTGAACTTGAGAGGCACTTTGGTCAAGCTATTAGTTGACTGCATACTTAGGCAATCATGCATTGGCACCGGTAGAAATGATTATAATGACGACTAGCCAGAGAAAGCTCAATGACTTTTCCTCGTCTGCACTCTTGACGACGGGCCAAACCGTTACAACCTTGTGTGCATCACTACGATTCAGACCAACAAGTTGCAAGAGAGCATGCATTGCGCGTCGAAAATTGTGGCTGACAATTGAGCCTGCCGAAGGCATGAGCCCTCAACGAGTTTGGAATCATTCGGCTGTTTGGAAACAATGTGTTGCCAAGCTAGCTAGTTCTGCTACTGCTGCCTAGCTGGTAGATAGATAGAGCCCATTTCTAGCTAGCTGGGTAATAAACAGTTGGCTGCTTTGGTAGCTATCTAGCTAGCTAAGATATTAGGCTCTGCTACTAGCTAGCTGGGTAATGATCAGTTGGCTGCTTGGGAGCTATGGTGCAGTGCCAATTAGCCAGTAGCTAGCTACATACTCTATTATTTGTTCCTCTTTTGCAATTTGCATTTGGCCAGGCTGCCATTATTAGGGTTACGGTTAAAAACTGTGACACACAAACGGACAAACGGACACGGACAAACGGACAAACAGACAAACATCCAAACAAAATTCACAAGGGCCCTAACCAAGTTGAGGGCTATTTCAAGTCAACAATGCCGTTGCTGCTCTGAGGGCTTGTGTCAGGCCAATGACACCATGTGCATCAATCCCACCATGCAACAGCATTGGACATTTTGCTTCAAGCTGTGCTGAATGAAGCGAAACCCAACGATGCAGAACTCATAGGCCTCATGGGTTCCAAAGAATAATATTGGAAGGACGAGAACCCCTCGCTTGGAGCACCGCTACTGGCAACCCCCTTCCAACAATCAAGGTGGTGGTTCAATGCCGGGGCTATACTGGTCAATTAGAATAGTTGGTTGGAATCGTTTCTTATGTACAATACAGCAGTGGGCGAAATGAACTGCATTACAGCCTTTGAACGAATAGAATGATTCAATCGGCATAGCTTTCCTCCCAAAACTTTCGTTCTACAACATCTCCCACGGCCTGTGCAGTGGACCAAGCCCAGTTTTCAACTCCTGGATCGACTTTTGGGTAGTAGATATCCGCGGCGTGCCATCTTCCCGATTCCAAACAAGCTCTCGCCGAAGTTGTTCCGATACAGGCAGCCAGAACGTTGCCATTGCCATCAGGACCCATCATTCGCTTTTCTTCGTCCGAAAGTTCCGTAAAGCCTCGGGCTCGATCGACATTGTCCAACCAAGCTGTCACAGAAGACGGAGACCCAAAGCAAACCACATCAATGTCATCAATCAGCGACAACTGTTCGTCATTGAAAGTGGCCGAAACGGTATCGTACGTGTTGAGTCGGGTAAATTCAAATATGACAGTGTCATTGGTATTTCTGGCCATTAATCCCTCTTGAATGTCATTCTTGGCCTTAGCCGAGGCAGGATAGAGAATCCTGGTAGGACCATCATTATTGTTGTTGTCGCCTATTGGCGGTAGTTCGGATGCCAATGTCTCTCCTGTTGCTTGACTGGGCACAAAGTCTACCGAGAGACCCAATTTTTCCAAAGTCTTGGCCGTCGCCTTTCCAACGGCTGCCACCTGGACATCATCACCCAATCGATCAGCAGTGCTTTCTTGAATCGATGCCGCCAATACCCGGGCTGCTTCTGGAGACGTAATGACGACATAATCGTATTCCTGGATCTTGTCGGTTGATAGTATATCGACCAGAGTGCTCTGATCATCCCCTGGGGCATGTTCAATACACGGCATTTCCATGGCATTCAGGCTCATTGGCATCATTTCAATGCCTTGATGCTCGTCCAGTGCTTTTTGCAGTTTGTTGTTTTTGCCTTGTTCCCGAGTCAACGCCACACTTATTTTCAACATCCCATTGTCACCTGTTGGTGACGAATCATTAGAGGCAATTTCTGTGGAAGATGCCATTCGAATGGCATTCTTTGAAACTACTTGCAATTGATGGGTAAAACCGTCAGTCGTCCAGGCCAAAAACGATAGCAGCAGGCTGCAGAGCAGGGTCCATGGTTGGGCTACCATTCTTTTTATTCTGTACTTTCAGATCTTGATTCTTCTAGGCTGCCGATGGGTTGGGGTTGGGGTTGGCCTGGGTACGCTGTGTTGTTTGTGTTGTGTTGGTTCAGCAAGCAGAAGAGAGGTTCAGGGCGAAAGAGAAAAACGCACCAATCCTTGGCAGCTTCAACATACGTCAGTCCCCCGGGACTCCAAAATGATGTCTCCCTCCAATCCGCTTTCTCCTCCAATCCGCTTTCTCGCCTTTCCTGCTTTTGACTTGTCCGGGTGAAACGTTACGGCTGTACGAGCACATCACCATGAAGCAGAAGAAGCCGTGCAATAATGGCTGCGAGCTTCTTCTCAGATAAAAGGCAGCTAGTAAATCCAGTCGGTCTCCTTCCAATTCAATTGAGACTTCCAAACGTCCGCGAAATCCTCTCGCTTCTCTTCAATTGTTTCTAAGTTCTTGTCCATAATATCTTATTCGACCACGTGAGTCCATGCAACGGTTTTATTGACAGTCACCAGGACATGGTTGAAAGACGTCTTTATCGGATGGATACAGCACTGGCAATAATGGATGAGGCAAACTAGTACCATTTCTAACCAACTCAACCACACAAACTCAACCAAAACACTGTTGCAGAGAATCCTTTGCACTCAACTTTGTGTTTTTCTTCTTTTCAAAAGCAAGTTCATGTTGTATAGAACCACTTGAGCATGTGCTTGTGTAGCTCGGGTAGGTAATGTCTTCCATCTCCTGGAAACGTCCAGTCTGCCGACAAGTAGGTTGCTTCGTAGATATCCAAGAATGGAACTTGCAACTCTTGCATGAGCTGTCGTTGCAGTCGATACAAGTGTGCCATGCGCGAGGAACTCATGTATCGAACGCGGTTTTGCAGCGCCGTGTCATTGTTGTTGGCAACAACCACATGGACGTGCATGGCCGAGGGTGACTTCCACAGTACCTGCACGTGGGGATACTCTTGTCGCACCGTGCCAATGAATTGTCGACAGGCTGTCAAGTGGTCTTGAAAGACGGGTTGGTTCTTGGTGAATAATAGATTGTTGTTCTGGTTGTTTTGTGCCTTGTCCGTATTGGACGCCAAGACATCCCAAATGGAGGACCCCAGCAACAGAGCCGACTTGTTGCTGTTTCTGCCTGCCAAGTCTCGTCCCAGTTGTTTTCGGAAGACTGTCAAATGCTCTTGGATCAAGGCTGTCGTCCATGGTTTTCGTCGTTTGGTGCGAAAGACAATGTTGGGTTCCAAGACGCGACTGGCATTTTTGACAAACTGTTTCATGGCCGAATCTCCAAAGGCAAACACTTGTTCGTAGTGGGATAATGATGTCATGCCGTGTGTCGCAGCGGGTGGTTGAAACGAGCGAATGGGTGGTGAAGAGGTTAGTAGTGGTACAGAAAAAGTCTTGTAAAGAGCTCCCCCATGAGCCCATCCATCCTTGCTGGGAGGAGCCATGGTTCCAATCCCACAGGTATATTGAAAGTGAATGGTGAGGTTTCCTCCTTCTTGTTGTCGTGACGATGTTATTGGAACCATCAGAGGAGGAGTTACAAAATCCAGCTGATAGCTTCCATCTTGTCTGTCGTCAATGAGGGCCACGGCGGAATCATCACTTCCACTAGAGCTCCATGTAATGTAAAATTCATCTCCACCGACAGTTTTGGAATTCCCCTGTTCATCCAGTGTTTGAATAGTCCATACATGTATCAACTTATTTTCTCGTTGTCTTGAAGAAGAAGAATCTGGTGGTTGCAGTATCTTCAACAAGAGCTGTGCCGTGGGCTTACAATCTTCCAAAGGCGACGAAGCAGCACCGACGGGAATGACACTGCGCACTGTGTCACCGATGGTATCATCAGGGACACTGGGTATCCGAATCTCTATTAGAACCGTCTTGTTGTTAGTCGGATCACTGTTAACCTTATGATGATGAGTCAGAATGGTACCAGTACCATCGGTTTGCTCAATAGGCTTTGGTTGTATTCTGGATGCGATCCAGAATGCTACCACCAGTGCCAATCCTAGCAAGATTCGAATTCTGGTACAGGAACTACACGACCGTGAATTACATGTACCGGTAGTAGCCATGGATGGTGCTTGCCTTGCAGCTCTTTGTCTGCCACTGATCATGTCATCGCTTCAGTCTTCAATTCAAGGATACCATGGCAGCTTTACAGTATGGTCGGATTGTGGTGGTGCGGTGGCGGGAAGTGAGAGGACAGCCCACTAGCTAGTTAGCCAGCTGGCTGTTGTTGTTTCCAACTCTGATGATAACTCTAGCTCTAGTCTGCCTTCCATAGATCAAGTGAGGGTCCCAAACGTACCCGGTACCTGGTACCAGGTACCGAATGCACGAGCTTGTGGTACATGTACTCTCTCTCAAAGCCACTGAAGGTTCCAAGTTGCCAATGCCCACGAGGAAGGTGGACAAAGCAAACAACTTGAAAGCAAAAATACTAGTACTGCACGGCGACAGAATGCTGTAGAACTTGGAAGATGAAAGAATAGCGCCCGCTGTACAAGAGCGACTAGACTAGCTATCTCATTAATTTTCTTGGACGGCACCAGGACACCTGATTTCATTCTCTAGCGAGGTGCCGAACAGATCAAGCTGCCTGAGCGATGGGCAACATTCAATCACTTTTGTGAGAAGGTCTTTGTCGTCCACATTTGTCATTCTCAGCCTGATCTCCACTAAGTTGGGAGGGTTGTTATGGACCATCATGGCTGCCACCAAACAAGACACGGCCTTGTTGGATATGCGGTTGCCGTTCAAACTAACCACTTGCAGCTTTGCTATTGCCTTGCAAAGTTTTTGATTGTCGAACTCAAAAAAGTCGTCGTTGATCTTGTTGTAATCTAATACTAGAGTTCTCAGCTCCGGGGCGCTGAGTATTGCCCTTGCAAGCGCAGAACATCCCTCCAGACCCAGTGAATTGTACCCTATGTCCAACTCTTGTAGTTTGGGTGTGAAGCCAAGACGGATGATATCAAAGACAGGGACCAAGTGAGAGTCATCCCAATGCAATCCAGGGTAATGCAGGACCTCAGCTTGGGAAAACTCCTCCAAAAAGATATCACGGTATAGCCGCATCAAGAGCCGAAGATCCTTCTTTCGGTTTGTAAACCGTTTAGTCTTTAATGCTTTGTCAAATAGATCCGGAAACATTGGGCTTTGTCGTTGTCCGTTCGATATGCAGTTTTCCATTACGCTTTCCGCCCCTGGCTTGTCGAATTGACTGTTCATGATTTTGTCGCAGGACTTGGTCAAGCTTGCCATGGCGAGCTCAGTGAAGGTCCAACCCCGGTTGGGTATTCCACAGTGTTGGTATTTTCCGGCAATAAGACGTCGTTACTATATGCTCCAGGGTAGTAGTCTTCCGGCAGCTCTTGGACGGTAAAAACAAAGGTTTGCGGGTGCGCGTACAGTCGAGACAAAGCAACCAGCCCTTTTTGGAATAACTGTTCTTCCGAGTCCGTTCGCATGACCCTATTTTTCGGGTCTGGGTGCTGATGAAGCGAGGCAAAATCCCAGAATACCCCCAAACAGTGTCGTCTGGTTCCAATGCCGCACGGTATTCTATAAAGTTCTGTAGGGACTTGCGTAGCAACCTCAGAGTAGAACCTTTGGGGTCGGGATGGTCCGGATGCAACCACATATAGCTCAGCATGATGATACAGTACGTAATCCATCGAACCATCCTCGTTTCTTGGTCGCTGCAGCTATTGCTTTGTAAGAGAGAAATGCTTCCTCTGGGAGGGCTTGTCGGAAGGAGATTATTTTTTGCTCAACATGACTCTCAATGATCCACGTGGCGTCTAGCAGCCTTACGGCTCCATTTGTGAGACCTTCTTCCAACCTATGGCCATCGAGATCCACCCACAAATCCATTCTTTAGAAGCAAGGACGATGTCAAAGCATTGCAGTCCCTTGGCGAACAGTGCCAGAAGGTTTTGTGCGTGGTGGTGTGAAGTCTGTGTTGCTGTGACTGGCCAGACATGAGCTCCGGCCCCGTACCAGGTACTGTACCAGTACCGTTATGGATCAAGTGAGGGTCCCTCACTTTGCATGGCGTTTGATATTTATCTGATTGGCCCACGCGCTACCATACAGTGGCCGGACTGACAACGCATCAACAGCTGTCTCTTCTTCAAGACCCAATCGAGGAACAACAGAACGCACTTGGCACCTGTAAAGCATTGTCTGCCGACCAGAGACACATTCTGCACACAGCATACATCGTACATTGTAGCAAGTACGGCAGCAGAAGCTAAGACACCTTCTCTTTGTTCTGCAACCAACCCATCACTCATCTTTCGTCTCAACCAATTAATAACTAGACTGAGCTCACAATTTGCAAGCAATTTCCAAACCCAGCCATCAACCCATCAACCCATCCACAAAAGCGTTCTATTCTGTTCGGTCCCTTGACATTTCCAACCAAGCAACACAAAAAGAGCAATACAAACACTACAAAAACACAAACACACAGTAACCATGATGTCCTCGATAAGAATTTTCCGTGTCTCCAACGGCCTGCAGCGACGTGCCTTGTCAACCGTGGCAGCACGCAGCAGTGGCGACTACACCAAGCAAGATGTCTTGAACTTGTTGAATCAGGTAAGCACAGTACTGTACAGTACGGCATTGTGTTGAAAATACACGTGGAAGTGACTGAATGACTCACTGTATTGACTGTTTGCTTGTGTATGAAAATGAAATTACAGCGATCACAAGAACGCAATGACTTGGCGTACTCGACTGCCTTTGGAGATGACACGGCGTTTTCCTTGTCCAGTATGGTGGAACCATCGGCGTTGATGCGCGAACAACTGAGGTTCAGTCAAGATCAACTGCTTCATTCTACTGTTCAGAGTTCGTTGGACACTATGGCACTCCCCAAGACACTGGAGGATGTCGTCCGACAAAAGAGTCGTGCCATTGTGGTGACCGAGACGGAAAAACCCTTTCGCGTCGTCGATGTCAATGAATGTTGGGAAGGATTGTGCGGATACTCGTTTCGGGAAGCACATGGCAAGACATTGGGAAGTTTGCTCAATGGACCCGCCACCAATCAAGTCGCCGCCACCGGCCTCATTGCCCATTTGTTGGCAGGCGAAGAAGCGGGAGCTGTGCTCGTCAATTACAAAAAGGACGGACAAGAGTTTTGCAATCGCATTCGCGTCGGACCGATTTATGATGCCGACAATAAGATTACCCATTTTGTGGGTGTGTTGGAGGAACTACCACAACGACAACAACAGCAACGACTCATGAACATGATGTAATCACCACAATACAATAAACTACAATGCGCTCGATTATACTGTACAGCAGTAGAAAGACTGACAACAACAACAAGAATAAACAAGAGTTGTCGTTGATGGGTGAAGGCAATAACATACCAGAAGAAAGAAAGGAATGCAGTGTAAAATAATGTTTTCTATTCGATCTGTTAAATTTCATCGGTACTAGTAATCACCACCTTCCTAGCTAGCGCTACTCGTACGGTAGAGGTGACCGTACCGGTATTTGCTACACGTCGTCAAAGGTTCGTAATGGCAAGCATACACGCTAAAATTGCGATGGTAGGTATCATCTGCCTACGCGCCATGGTAATAGCTAGAGTAGCTCCTTGGCCCTAAACTTCCCCTGCTTGTCCTTTTGGCTACTTCGTACCGTACTAGCTAGCCAGTATGGACAAGGATCTCGCTCCCCCCAAAAGGCTGGCAACTATTTCTGCTTCCGCTGGAATTTGTCATGGGTTGGCCGGAAGTTCCAATTGGCACGAATGTACTGTACCGTACGTACCGTTCGCTCCAGGTGGAACTAGCCTAGTTGGCTCTCCAGGATGTTCCAGGTTGCAGTTTGTCAACCTGGATGTAGCTACATGCAGTTCCAGAGAGCTACATGCTACCGGTGGCAGCGCAGTGCTGCTACCAGTACCTAGCTAGCTAGCAGCTAGCATCACAGAATGTCATATTGGGGGGCTTTCTGGCTGCGACTCTCTGCTCTACCGATATAGGTGGAGTAGTATACTAGGTGGCGAACCTGGCTCTCCCAGTGTACGACCGGTACCGGTATCAGCGAAAAGCTACCTGTGTGCTTCCAGGCTCCATCAACGTTCCTTTGCATAAACTGAAGCCAACATGTCCAATGTCCTCTTTTGGACTGACCTATTCTTCCAGAAGATCCGCCCAGAGCCGTCTTTGCATGAGATACCTCGAAGCTTGCTAAAAGTAGGCAGCACCTCCGCTGCAATAATGCGGCATCATGATGTCGTGATGGGCAGTGGAAATACAGAAGCAGTCATGTAACTACCTTAGTCTACCCGTACGATAGCAGCAATACAGCCAACACCCATGCCAGCAACACATCCAATACCTGCTTCATCTTCTGCAAGGTCCTGAAACGGGACTCAAACGATAGTTTCACGCTTTTTGTTAGTTTCACGCTTTTGGCTTAGTTTCACGCTTTTTGTTAGTTTCACCCTTTTTGGTTAGTTTCACGATTTTTTGGTTAGTTTCACCCTTTTTGGGTTAGTTTCACGCTTTTGGGTTAGTTTCACGCTTTTGAGTTAGTTTCACGCTTTTAGTCGTGTTTATACTGTACTAGTTTCACGCTTTTTGGTTAGTTTCAAGCTTTTTGGGTTAGTTTCACGCTTTTTGGGTTAGTTTCACGCTTTTGGGTTAGTTTCTCGCTTTTGAGTTAGTTTCAAGGAAACGGTGGTCCATTTTCGGTGAAACTAACAAAAAGCGTGAAACTAACCCAAAAGCGTGAAACTAGTCCCATTTTCAGGACCTTGCTGACGGAAAACCCGATGGTTGAAAAAGGGGTGAAAGGCATAAAAGGGGGTGAAAGCAAAAGAGAAAAAGGGGTTTCACGCACGGCGAATGCCTGAAGACCACGAAATGACGTCAGTGAGGGAAAGAAAAACTCCAACTCATCCCAAGTAAGTGAAAATCGCTGCCCTTGCGTCAACTGATCATAATATGCCGTTACTAGTACTATAGGACCATGAGAATATCCTTCCTTCTCTTCTTGCTTGGCACGCTGTCGGTGGATGCGTTCGCACCAACATCAAGAGTATCGACACGGTTTCGTCTTGCGGCAGCTACGGAATCAGTCCCACAACAACCAGACGTAGAAGAAGTTGATGTGGTCGTGGTGGGTGCTGGCATTGGTGGTCTTTCATGTGCGGCCCTGAGTTCTTACTATGGCTTAGAGACGGTCTGCCTGGAGGCTCATGATACGGCTGGTGGAGTGGCCCATTCCTTTGATCGTTATAGTTCTGCCTCCAAGACGGTTCCCTTTCGGTTTGATGCCGGTCCTTCCTTGATTAGTGGTTGTAGTCGTCCCAGTACAAATCCATTGCGACAGCTATTGGATGCTGTGGGAACTTCTAATGAGATTGAATGGAAACAATACGATGGATGGATCATTCATGACTACGCCGATGGAAAATCTTTCAAACTAACCACGGGTGATTCGGGAGCATTTGAAAAGGCGTTGGAAGAAAAAGAGGGCAAGGCATCTCGAGAGGCTTTTGAAGCCTTCAAAGACAAGATTTTAGCCGATGGAGGCATTTCTGAAGTGAGCGCCTACATTCCTCCCTTTGCTCTCCGGGGAGATATTTGGATTGGGGCGAGTCTTGCACAGTACTTTCTCAAGTTGCTGCGGATTGGAACCAAAGGACTCCTGTTGACTGGACCCTTTTCCAAGCTCATGGATATGTACGAACTCCAAGATGAATTCGTAAGAAAATTCTTTGACTACTTGGCGTTTGCATTGAGCGGACTCGATGCTGCCCACACCCAAGCAGCACCGGTTGCCTACATGATGTCGGATCTGCACAAACCTGGAATGGTCTTGGATTATCCCATGGGAGGCATGGACTCGTTGATTCAATCTTTGGTCAGCGGATGTGAAAAGCACGGGGGCCAAGTTCGTGTCAACAGTAGAGTGGACAGATTTCTCCTGGAAGAAGGATCAGGTGTTTTTGGTGGGAATCAAGCAGAGTGTCATGGAGTAGTTTTGGCTGACGGCAAGGTTATCAAGGCTCGAAAAGGTGTCGTCAGCAACGTGCCTTTGTGGAACATGGCGAGCATCCTAGATACGTCCACAGGAGAAAACGATAGTGGCGCCGTGGCAGAAGCGGTCCGAGAAATACGACAACAAGCCGATGGCATGGAAATGACAGGTTCCTTCATGCATCTTCATCTTGGAATCCCGAAGGACGGGTTGGGTGACGTTGAATGCCATCACTCGGTGCTGGACTTCAGCATTGACGTGACAGCAGAGCAAAACATGGTAATCATTTCCATACCGACTGTCTTTGATCCCAATCTAGCACCCGAGGGATATCACATTGTCCATGCGTATACTGCGGCGTGCGACAGTTTCGATGATTGGCAAAAGTATCTCGAAACTGAACAGGATAGTGGAATTGTTGGCAGTAGCCCCAATGCTGGAGCAGCGTCCAAATACAATACGATGGATGGATACAATGAACTGAAAGAGCAAAAGGCAGAGGTTCTGTGGAAAGCTATTGAGTGTGTCATACCCGATGTCCGTGATCGTGCCAAACAAGAAGGTTCCATTGTAATGATTGGGACACCGCTCACACACAGACGCTACAATCAACGGTTTCGTGGGACGTACGGTCCAGCTCCAGGTTCGGGCAAAGATGTTTGGGAGCTTCCGGGAGCATCAACTAAGATCAAGGGTCTCTTGGCGTGTGGTGACACTACGTTTCCAGGTACGTTCTATGTGTCGAGTCCTCTACTACTGTACTCTCTTGTTACCAACTAGCTGATGATCGGTTGGCTCTTCATAGGTATTGGTCTTCCTGGAGTTGCAGCATCAGGGACGGTGGCCGCCAACACTTTGGTAGATGTACAGAAACAAACCGAGCTGATGAATCGCCTCCGAGAAAGCGGAGCACTCCAGTAGAGAGGTGCTCTTGCCACCAGAAGAATATGCACATACCACAGCTAGATGAGAGAATAAAACTATTGGTGGATAGCTCTAGCTACAAGGGCTCAGAACGACTTGATTAGAGTTAGCACAAGACTCTGCTTCGTGATTCGTTAGGGGTGAACTCCGACCCCCGAAAATATTCATCTTCAGCAACTCCAGCTGAGTCGTTGGCATGCAGTGCGCAATCCGAGTGAAAATCTGTGACAGATCCGAATGCTTTGCGGTACGTTTCGCTACTCTTCAATCCACGACATTCTTTTATGAGGATCACCAGCTTCCAGGACAGTCAAAAGGAACGCCGGCGGCCTAGGACGCGGTGGTATTGGCTCGGGTATCCCATAGTCTGCGTTGTAGTTTCTGTGGAGGGTTTCCCGTGGTTCTGTAAACTCCGTAGAGGTTGACGCTGGAGGGGTCGGTGGAGGTGAAGGAGGATCGTCGTCGAATCGTACCGATTTGGACCCTTTGCTCACTCGTGGTGGTGGCGGCGGGTCGGGATCGGCCGTGTTGTCGTCCTGTTGTGGCACATTTCTTCC